GGAGTTAGACGCCCGTACCAAATATAATGTATTGAAACTCCATATACATGCTCGGAGTATGACCAAAACAAACAACAATTCACATAAATCAATGTTATGAAGTGGAAAAAATTGAAAGATACGTTTTGTTTACAATGAATAATCTTCTCCAAAGTTAATTCTCGTGCCGGAGGCAAACACACAACTTGTGATATTAATTTTGAAAAAATCATTTTGGAGCAATTTAGTTGGATGTATACAAAATGGGCAAACTGAAATCGCTTCGAAATGATTTTTTCAAAATTGATATAACGAGTTTTGTGTTCGCTTTTGGCACAAGAATGGTCTTTGGAAAAGATATTTTTCATTTGATTGTGTAATAGAACGGTTTATTAGATCTACCAAATTTGGTGGTCATTTGTATCGAAGCTAGCTGTTGTACAACTGAAACGGATGAGAATGACCATTTTCGTGTTATTGACGAAATTATCGCTCGAACCAAGTAGAACAACGCTTGATAGCAAGTGCTAACATAAAGGTACATATTTCTCAATGAGAAATTCTCATTCTTATTACTGATCTGTCTTCAACAATTGGAAAAATTCGGCATTCGCTTAACCATCGGTACTAATAACAAACTCAAAATTCAAACATATTGTAATTGCATTTATGGTTCTGAAGACTGTAACAGATGGCCTTTGATGTGTTCATTTATTATACGAAAAACGAACGAACGAAAGACACTTCCTATAGATAGATTGCTTGGAAGTTATTTTCGTTTGTTTCTTCGAAATTTCGTTTGTTGTTGATAGCAAAAATGAAATCATTTTTTGATAAAACAACGGAAGAAGGGAATGCAGGAAGTGTGACGCCACAGAGAAGTTTTGAATGCCCAAATTAAACGGATATCCTTTAAATTTCGAAAACGTCAATATCAAAATATTATCAGGAATATTGTGGAACATGAAATTGAGCATTACGAATATATTTTGCTGAATTTTTCTTTTTTTTTAGCGAAAAGATATACGAACAGGAGTTAATCACTGAGTTTTTAACTTGTTGCATTTTTGAAATTTATCAAGCGAAAGTTTCTCTTGGAATTGATAAACGAAAGCTTTGCTTATTAAATGCAATTGATACAAATAGGAACAATAAATGAGAGTTCTTCTTAGTTTTAATTTTGAATTCGGTCCGACCAGTTTGAATTCCGTGTACTATTCCCGTTTGACAAAATGAGAATTGTGATAGCGTGCGTGTTGGTTTTGATTTTGGTCAAAAAAATATATGGCTGCGATGATATACCTGGCGAATTATATAAAGAAACCCATGAATCACGACATATTGTTTGCAAAAAACCAAAAAATTATCGTTATATTGAGTGTGATTATTCTTCTGTGAGAGCGCTTAAAACTGAGAACTGCCCGACCGGATGGATCGAGTTTGATTTCATTCGGTATCGAAATGTGCAGACTCTAGACATTCCGTTTTCCAACTATACGACATTTGATTACTTACATTTAAATTTCGATTATTTGAAGCGGTTCAATGCGTCTCACAATAATTTAACGGAAGTGCACGAGTATCAATTCAATAACACCAAACAACTAACGGAAGTGGACTTTTCGCACAACCAAATCAAAAATCTTCACAAATTAACATTTTCAAAAGTATCCAAGCTATCCACAATAAATATTTCGCATAATCAAATCGAAGAAATGGATTCGGATTTATTTAGTGAGCTTTCCGATTTAGAAGTACTCGACCTAAGTGATAATGAAATTGGAGCGATTCCTGAGGACGCTTTTAAAAAGAATTCCAAATTAAAAACATTAAACCTAAAAAATAATCCAATCTGGCGGTTAGATTGCAGCATTACACAGTTACTGAATGGCATGACTTCAATAAATGTGTCATTCGAAAATGTTATTGGGTTCGATTTAACTTGTGCAACGCCAATCGAATGGGCAATGAATGAAGAAGAAATAATTTTCAAGAACGCAAACAACCAAAATGAGCTACGATACCCTAAGATGAAATTCAAAAATTTAAGAACACTCTCCATCTGGAGAAATCGATTGCATAACTCACTAGAAATAGTGGACATGTTGGGAGAATCGATTGAGGACCTGAATTTAAATGGAAACATATTGGGGAAGATAGATGAGACAACGTTTCATGGTTTCAACAACTTGCACTCTTTATATCTAAGTGAAACCAATCTTTCATTCGCTGCTGAATCTAATCCCTTCGAGCATCTTAACAAACTGACGCATCTCGATATTTCTCACAACAATTTAACATCACTGAATGTCAGTTTACTTTCAAAAACTTTGAGTAATTTGGAAATATTCCTAGCGGCTGGAAATCGCTTTGATAACAGTCTAGGAATCATACAAAGTCTCGGATCAAATCTATTGCTATTGCATTTTTCTCAGAATATCATCGGAGCATTGAATCTCAGCACATTTGAACGTTTCATAGATATGTCTTGGTTAAATTTGTCAGACACACATTTGGAACACTTCGATGTGAATCCACTCAAAGTTTCGACTTTAGATATTTCCCGAAACAAATTGAAGCGGTTGAACGTGAATTTACTGTCGGATACTTTGAATAGGCTGCACGAATTTTGCGCAGCCGGTAATTATTTCGAAAATACGGCTGAAATCATACAACATTTGGGATCAAATTTAAACGAACTGGATATTTCTGGAAATTATATGGGAACATTGAATGAAACTACATTTGAACAAACCCAAAATATTCAGCGGCTTTGGCTACGACGCACCAATTTATCGATTTCTGATGTTAAACCCTTTGAAACTTTGGCGATTGTTTTGAAGTACCTCGATATTTCGAACAATAACTTGACACAATTGAACTTCTCAACGTCGTTAGTTTTCGAGAATTTAAAAGTGATTTACTTGCGCGAAAACCATCTTACGCAACTGGATGGTCTTTTTAAGCATTCATATCCAAAGCTCACCGAATTGGATATCACAAATAACCAATTGAATTGCACTACTTACCTATCTATGGTCAGAACAGAATGGGAAAGTCTGAATATAATCGGAAATCCGTGCGGTGATGAAGATCGAACCCAATCGACGACAATTGCTCCAAAGACATCTGTTCCACCTTCTTCTTCTATTGTTTCGTATGCTGTTCCGATTGGTGTGTCTGCTCTAAACATCATCATCATTGTAGCCGTTGTTGTATTCCTTCGTCGGAAAAAATCTTCGAAAAGCAGTGGCCAAATGGAAGTATCCAACCACTCAAATGGCAATGGCGAAGAGCTACAGCCAGAACCACAACAAGAGGTAGAATCAAATCCGGAAGATCACATTTACGAGGAAATCGAAGAACCAGAATGCCCCTATGACCACCTGGAATTTGGAGTTCGTCCCATGCCAATATCGACTGAAAACCAACACTACCAAAATTTCACTCTGGTCAATCTTGATCGTGGAACTCGGCCTCAAAATGTAATTTACATTTTATGTGTAAACAACTCAAACCTCAAACAGAACACACTGATTATTTATTCACTTCTATCATTTCAGAATGGAGAAAATCGCCGCTTTTTAGACGGGCGACGTGAAATGCTCCCAATTTACAATGAATCAACACAAGATTGAAAAATCTTGTTTCATTCGCGAATGTCAGGATGAATTCATTCGCATTTACTTGCCATTATAGCCGACCGCAGCAGCGCCCGAGTGTGAATCGCAAAAACGATAATCGCAAAAGTGTGATTAATTAATTTTAATTTCTTGATTCCTGAGTTGCGAATCAAATTGAATTTTTTTAAACTGACATTCATATTTTCCGCTATCGAATCACCATAGAATTTTCATATTGTCAAGAAACTTGTCAGTTCATCCAAATCTGCATAGAATTTTCAGTTTTAGCGTAACCGTAAAATTATGAACGTTAAATTTTTAACAAAAATTAAACTCGAACCAAAATCAAAAGTTAACTACAAGTTATTTCAACGAATCCAAATAAATTTTTGCGTGTGAAGGGAAGAAAAAAATTCCAAATTCAAAAAATGGAAGTGATCGAAAATCGGCAAGTTTTTCTACCATACGCAGTAAAAACACTGCTTAAAGACAACTCGCCCGAGGAACAAGAGCATATACTTGAATTACTCAAGGATGGATTTAATGAGGACCTCTTTGATTTATCCATAGCCCGAATACGCCAGTCTAATTTTTATTTTATTTTATTTTATTTTATTAAACACCGCCAAGCTCTGGCTGAATATAATGTGGGTTTTGATTGAGGTTTGACAGGAAAAGAGTGCAAGACTGTTACATATTTAAAATAATAAACAATTAGTAGCAATAGGTTTCGATAACTATCAGTTCTCGCCTCGTTAAAAACCTGGCTCTTTTCGTAAATTATGCGGTAATCACAATAGTAGGAACATGAAAACGAAAACAGTCTTGCAACCAAGATGGAAATGCCTGTAATTAGTCTATGGCAAACGGTCCAAGATAACCTTTGGTAAACGTTTCCAAGGGACAAAGGCTATGTGAAGCGCTTGATTACGCGTTAATTTGAGACTTTAGGACAGCAAAAGTCGTCGCTCAATTTATACCGGTAGATAAATTGACGAGAAGTTTTACGTCTGTAAAGGCAGATTCATGTTGATTGCAGAGTGCACTGAGTTGACACGGACCATGATTTGAAACGTAACTAGAGCATTTGATGCTATTTGATAAATAATTCAAATTTGATTTGAACGATAAGAATATTAAGTCGCCAACTCGTGGATGGCTTTAAAAAGGAACAAAATGAATTTACAATAAATAAGTGTAAACATCACAGATAAGTATCATCATTTCAATACATATGGAAGGAATGTACGGAAAATAATTCGTCAGAATTTAAGCATTGATTTTTGCAGCGTGATTTGTGTGAGCTCAGTTGAATACCGCGCGGGTGGTTGGAAATTTGCACTCAGCCCCGTTCATGTTTGTTGCAATCAGCGGCATTCCAAGAAAAATGGCACACGAGCAATCTGTGTTGTCTTTGATGGGTTTGTCCGCTTGAGATCATGGGTCGGGTTTAACGGCAACATGAAAATCGTAATTCCATAATTAGTGTGGGTAGTATCTACGTGTTCTCGTAGAGAACATATACAAAAAATGAGGTTACCTGGATGAAAAATTGACGAGGCGGCCAGGTAGTCATTTGAGTTTGCAAAGCGATCCAAAAGTGATGTCCGTCATTTTGCGAACTGATGATGCAAAATTCGTCTTTGAGGTCGCCGCTGTGAACAGTTCCGGCACCATGTTCGCCATTTTGCACATTTGAGGAATTGGAGCTTCTCGCACCAGCTTCATGTGCTTGTCATTGACTCTGAATTGCTCGCTGTGTCTCAATGAACGCCCATCATTAAATGTGACTAAGTTCTGTGTGATAGAAGTTGTCATTAAAAGACAGGTGAATTGTAGTCGATGGTTGATTAAAGACTGACGATTTTATTCATGCACTTAAAGACTATATACAATAAATTGCTTAGCTGACTTATTTAAATTCTCCGAATTCTATTCAGGTTATTGTTGCACTTATAACTAAATAATAATTATTTCTTGCTTATGATTCATTATTTCGTGCGATTTCATTATTGTTCGATTCCAGTTAATTCAAAATTATGTCAATAGACAAAATGAGACTTTGTCACTAACCGTTGGACAGTTAGCGTTACCGTTGATGATGTCGTAGAAAAAACTCAATGACGCGTTGACACGTCGACGGCGAAGACTAATCATGTTCAAGTCCGACAATCGTTGCTCGTACGGTGTGATTGAGTATTGGTTATGTACGGATGGGTATTCTCGACGAGCGTACATAGTGAATTGGCGTTGCACGGATTCGATTTTGTCACTGTGGATTTTGTGGAATGGAAGCCATACCATGGCGCAGTAATCGAGGTGAGACTGAACCAATGCAAAATACAGCGACTTTAGTGTGGTAACGTCAGTGATGTCATGGCAAAAGCGCTTGACAAAGCCAAGTGCAGCCGTTGCCTTCGCAGTGACCATGTCAATGTGTTTGGCAAATGATAGTTTTCTGTCAATTAGAACACCCAAGTCCTTGTGTTCAGTCACTTTGCCGAAGGTTTGGTCGCCATAGGTGTAGCTTGTTTCCAAATGCTGACGTTTCTTGTAGATAGATAGCACTGCACATTTTTCGAGGTTAAGGTGCAGCAAATTCACATCACATGCTGACCAAGTGGAAAAAATATTGCGAATGTTTCAACGTAAAAACTTTTAAGAGATTTTAAAAACCAAATTTTATGTGCCAATTTTTTTTTTTAGAATGTTTGGTAGTTTGGAGATGGCCAGTCTTAAGCGACCCGGATGATGATGAACACGCTTGGTTCTTGGGTATTGCTGCAGAATTGAGCATTGAAAACGGAAGACTGAGAATTGGAGTAATGACGGACGAGTATGTAAAAAAATCCTTATGTTCACTATGATGAAAATTCAGAAGTACGATTCAATTTATTATTTCAGTGGTGCATTATTACCGGCGACAATAGATGAGGTCGAAAACAATTTCATGAAATGTCCGTTCTGCACAGATGAAGATGACTACTTTCCAATAATACCTGCAGAGCTTGCATATCACATGAACGAGCGACATCCCGATTTAGATTTCTCTTCTTACGAATAATTTGAGATTTTTCGAAACTTTTCCCTGAAAATTTACACGGTTGAAAATTGAATTTTATTTGAATTGAACATTGCGTTGAACTTCTTCAAGAATATTTCAGCTCATTTTTCACTTTCTTTTTTGTTCTTGCATCAAAAGCTGCGACTAGCTCACGCGGACGAGCGTTCGAAAAGGCAAGCAAGCAAAAGATAATCAGCAATTCGCTTTCAGTCTTCATCTTTTTATTTTCAAAAGTTGCGTTTTTGTTCCGGAAGTACTTCAAATAGACACTTTTGGGGGCTTTTGCCTGAGAAGACTGCCCATATTTTTGAGGGAAAAAATAACTTTTTACTCCAATACCAACCCTTAAAAGTGTATATTCTAGGGATTTATTTTTGCCTTGGTATCGTTGCACAAAACTGGACCATTTGATAGAATCATCAATCATTTATGGACCTTTCCTTGAAACACAACCTGTACACAGTGCAGAAACCTTTGTCTGTTAAATGGATTCAAATTTCAAGAGAGAATATTTATTTAAAAGACTTATGATCAACCTGTTCATTGATTTCGCCAGAAAAAAAACCGGAAATCGCCTACAGAATCAATTTACACGTTGGTGAGGACCATACAGCGATAATTTGTGACTAAGAAATTGGTTAACTTTTCAATTCTGTGGGCGCTGCCATATTGAAAATTTATGTGCGATATGGTGCACGCACTCAATAGTTCAACTTATTTTAATAAGGAATCTCTATAGGTGGCGCTGCCACATCGTCATTGACATCGAGTCAAATATTGTCAAATATAATAACACTGTTTATATAGGCTTTTGTCGCAGTACGGTGAGGACATCATAGCCAAGTAATTGAACTGGCGTCTTTTTGTCGTTCTCTCTCAAAACCAAAATCAAAACTATCTCAGGACACTCAAATGGAAATTAATCATCATTTTGGTAAATCCGCTTGGCTGATCGATGTTCGTTAGAATTCAGTTGGAAATTTAACGTTCTATCGGAAGCGGAAATGAAATCCAGTTTTCCCTTGAATTAATTAAATTGATCAACTGAATGGGGGTAATGATATAGCAAATGCATTGCTGTGCGCTTTAAAATAACTCCGAAAATACAATATTGACTTCCGGAACTTCCGTTCACACCATCCACGATTTTAAAACAATTTATTCGACGTATTTTCATTGGGTCCGATCGATACTAAAACGACTGAACGAACGAACGAAATGGGATTGCTGAAACTCCGAAATTATAATGGGAAAGCTTTGCCATTCATTTTTCAAATGCAATTCACAAACAATTTAGAAAACAAAAGCACACACATACATGTATATTTGAACCAAAAGTATACCGATGAGAAAAGTGAAATTCGATTTGGTTCGCAAAAGTAGAAGAAATGCGATAATCGTAGCACAGAAGAATCTCTGAATGTGAAACAAAAAAATGATTGCCACTTTTTTTCCATTCAATAAAATCAAAACTATAGATAAATATTGAATCCATTCGATCGGGCACAGATTTTTCTCTCTAAAATAAATGAAATAATAGTATGAAATAGCAAACCTGGTTGACATTTGGTTAGTCGATGCAAATCAAATGTAAACAGTGAATTTCAATCCATCGAATCGAATGATACTTGTTTGTTTGACATTTGACACACCACTGAATATGCATTATTAAATAGACATAGAGCATATGCTAGAAAGCAAGCAATGGCTAGTTTTTCAAACTAAAGTCCCTCTGATAATGTGTCCTTTTACAAGTCAGAGCATTAGTCTTGGAGGTTTCATTGTCAACCTAAATACGGATGACTACTCTGGTAAATATAATTTTAAAGAATATCCATACTTGGACCATTTTGATGGCATAGAGTCACCACTACAAGTGCCAAGCATTCCAACCTTTTCACGTGAAAGGAGTACTCCTTTGAACTATACATAGTGCCATTGATGTTTATTTTAAACTAAAGCCAATATTCCAGTCATGGTAATTTGCCGGTACAAATTTTACGAACGCTATGACGAGCTTCAAAATATCTCACTTTCTATTTTTACGAATTCCGGTATATACTGTATTTGAAAAGCACATCCTCAGTTTCAATGAGCATTTTACTATAGACACACAAATTTACACAGAATCATATATGAACATTTTGTTGTTGAACAATTTCTTTTTTGAAAGACACAAATAAATCATTAGTTTGAACTGGAAAACGACTTATTATTTAGCTTGTAAACAAAGGAAACGATATGATGAAAAAAAATCGAACAAATTGTAGATAACCAATTTGGTAATTTGCAAATTTAAATTTGAAGAATTCGATCTGTGCAATGATGATTGATGCTTACCGCAGTTTGGAAGTTGCGTAAGAATATGATCCGGTGGAAGTGGTTCTGGGGTCATGACATCGAGACCAGCCGAAAAAATGGAACCATTCTTCAGTGCTTCGATCAAATCATCTTGAACAACGAGGCCTGGTTCAGGGAAAATTGAGCAAAAAATGGAAAATTCAAATTTATCAAAATGATTGGTGAATCAGAGGGAAAATGTGTGATAGATCCAACCTCCACGCGACACATTGATAAACACCGAAGTCGGTTTCATTTTGGCAAAGGCCGTCTTATCGAATAGGTTGCGAGTTTCATTGGTTAACGGGCACATAGAAATCACAAAATCCGATCGAGTTAGCAGATGATCGAACGATACAAATGTCGCACCAAGTTGTTTATCTTTAGGAATGTTTATATGGAGAATGTGGGGAAATTCGATTAGTTTTAGTTTCTACCAAGAGATTTCCGAAATGTGTGTTTTCGATCACAATATAATATGCGCTACAACGCATTGTATTTACTCAAGTAGATATGCATCCAATCAACAGGTGGCAGCTCTTCAAAAAACGCAACGTGAAAGAAAATTTGATATAAAACGACATTTTTCGTAACAAAAAATTTATTCAAAAAACACATTCGTCATGGACAAAAAAAAACAGATTGAAATATGTTTCAACAAAATGTTTGTGTAACAGCATTGAACGTTTATAGATAGTTGAAAGGGTGAAGAGATCCCAACTTTTCTTTCAAGTTCATTGAGAATATTCTGAGCACTGATTTTTACTTCGTTCGTAAAGTGGCCAATGTCATCATTTTTATTTCCATTCCAAAAACAAGATCAACATAAAAAAGGTAACATCGAATTTTTAGAAAGCAATTTATTGTAGGAAATATAAAATCAGAAGAAAATGTGTAAAAATAAGTCGGAAAATTTTCACAGTGAATCAATTTTTTAATAAATGAATCAATAAGCGGAATAAATTAGTGGTTTCCCTTCGATGCCATTCAGAACGTTTTGAGCAGCCAGTTTAGCCATGTTGTTCCTGGTCTGGTTGGTTGCCGATCCTAAATGTGGAATCACCACTGTCCACATGAACAAAAAACGCAAAAAATAAATCAGAGGCTTCAAAACGAATAGAATTTCATTTGTGCAATGATGATTGATGCTTACCGCAGTTTGGAAGTTGCGTAAGAATATGATCCGGTGGAAGTGGTTCTGGGGTCATGACATCGAGACCAGCCGAAAAAATTGTACCATTCTTCAGTGCTTCGATCAAATCATCTTGAACAACGACGCCTGATTCAGGGGAAAATTGAGCAAAAAAGTGAAAAATTCAAATTTATCAAAATAATTGGTGAATCAGAGGAGAAATGTGTTATATATCCAACCTCCACGTGACACATTGATAAACACCGAAGTCGGTTTCATTTTGGCAAAGGCCGTCTTATCGAATAGGTTGCGAGTTTCATTGGTCAACGGGCACACAACAAATACAAAATCCGATCGAGTTAGTAGATCATCAAACGAGACAAATGTCGCACCAAGTTGTTTACCTTTAGAAATATATGGAACATGTGCGGAAATTTGATTAGTTTAGTTTCTTAAGAATGTGTCATTAATAAATTCAGAGTAATATTCCGAAAGGTTGATGGTATTTCGATACCTTCTTCCTTCTCACGATGACCAGTGTACAGAATGGAACCAATTTTAAAGCCTTGAAGACGTTTGGCAATTTCTTGGCCGACATTACCCAAACCAACAATTCCGACTGTGGATCCTTTGATATCTTGACCTGTTTAATTGAAATGAATTCAAAAGATGATTTTAGCTCCAATGATTTACTCAGTAAAACATGTGTGTCACACACTTTAATTCAGCACTAACCAAGCATCCATTGTGGATCAAATCCATCCCATTGATCGTTGACGATTTTCAAGTAGCCTTCGCGAAACCGCCGAGCAGCCGAAACCAACAAACCAATAGCCAAATCAGCAACGGCATCGCTCAATACATTTGGTGTATGACCCAATGGAATGCTCCGTTTTTTGAATTCGGCCACATCAACGTAATCCATGCCTGTTCCAGATGAAAAGAATAAGGAGAAGGATTAATTTTTTTTAGTTCCTAGTACCTATTGTATGAGATGTTATGTTGCTAATGCTCATTGAGATAGAATTTTGAATTTTAGTTCTCCATATCATAAATTACTCATACGAATTCCTATTCTGATTTATAATAACAACATCGTGATGCTGTTGCAAATGTTCGATTACCAGCCGACATAGTGGAAACTGCCTTCAGTTGAGGTCCAGCACGATCTAATGCCTCAGCATTCAACGGTTCATGTGATGCCCATAAAATTGCATCGACACCTTCCGATTTGCTCAAAATTTCCTCACGCGTTGGCTTTGGATTTCCTTCGGCGATAATCACATCACATCTACCATTGGATTGATATTGAATGAGTGTTTTAATATTAGAATGAAAACTTAAGTGACATCTAAATCAGGACTTAGAAGTCAACCATTCAACGATTTTTTTCCAAACATCACGTGCTTTTTAAGTCATGGAAGAAGAAACTCAAGGCAAATACATCAGTAAAATCACTTACTTTGTACGCAACAATTCAACACCAGCTGGCGGTATTCTGCGATTCAAAAAGAAAATGATAAATTTAAAAACGATTTAAATAGAAATTGATTTTCGTAGTAAATTATGAAAATTAAATAATTAATAGAATAACCAACATGGGATTGGTGACTAAAACTCTCGGAAGACGTTGTGTATCAGTCATTGTTGTGCGTGCTGAGCAAGGAATCTAAGTTGAATGAAAATAGAAACGCACAAAATCGTCACTTATTGCCTGTGTCGTTGCTTATCACACAACTATATTGCCTATTATCGTTTGTTTATTTTTGTTTACACAACAATTGACGACAATTTATCTTCAAATTACATTTTTTTCGATTCAACCAATATTGGTTGTAATGATAAAATTCAACTTTCTGTGAAAATTCCACTTGACAACCGTAGTATTCAAACTAATGAAACAAAAAGTTGGAAGCGGTGTTATTCGGTTTAACGATGATTTCACTTGAGTTGTGCCGTTGATTGTGTGTTAAAATCAGCTGATCATCTTGTTTTCTATTATTTTTTCATTGCTCTGTAAAAACATACACCACATAACCACAATAAGAAAAAAATCTAGATGATTCGCTATGGTATTGTGGCCCAATTAATTTCCTGCTTTTTACTGTGATACTTACATTTAATGTTTTCATTTTGTTGACATTCACAGCAAACATACACGTTTGTTTCAAAAACCGATGCGCGCTTATCATTTTGTGGCAAATGATACTATTGACACACTGACTCCATGTGTGCTAGTGCGTTGATTCAAGCGATAGAACAGTTTCATCACTATCAGAAATGAAAAGTGCTCGATTCCAACGATAGATGCCTCTGTGCATGGTCAAAAACAACGATTTCAAATTAAAACCAATTTTAATTCAACTAGAATTTTAAAATTGATAATTTTTTTGTAATTTTTTTATTGAAACTTTTTCTCTCTCTCAATTTTTATGGAATAAAAAATAATAAAAATGTTTTTTTTTTTAAATTGTCACATTTCTTAATAAATAATTTCGATTTTTTTTTATCAACTGGTTGAATTGGTGATTGTTTTGACTTAAAAAAAGGGAAACAGCCGTCGGGCAACAAAATAGAGGGTATATATCGTCTTGGTATAGGCTATGAAAAAATCGTCATATTGTTAACATATATATATTAAGGCTCCGATTGTTTTACATAAATGCAAATATATTTTTGTTTGTTTCTTTGTTGGTTGGTTGGTTGATTTGCAACATGCGAACGCATTAAATTTTTGTCAAAAAAATTAATCGTCATTGTTCACGCAACGAGCCGTTGTTTCACCGATTCGCCGTGTAACATAATAAAATATTATTCATTATAAAGTGATTGTTCGTAGTGATAAATGATTTGTGAGCTTTTTTTCGTGTGCTTAACAACTAAATTTTTGTTTCTTCTGATGGTTTTAAATGCTGCAATGATACGAAAGAATTCTTTGATTTGAACCCATTTTGCATTCTAGACGTAGTAGAGACGAACCACCGATTTCGTTATCAGCATATCACCATCGTAAAAATGCGTCTCGATCGTCACATTGCCACTGAAAAGAAAATTAGGGGAAATTTTTAATTGATTTGCAGATTTTCCACATATAGGTCATTAGGTCAATGGTATACAATGACGGTTAGTGAGGCCGGTTTTTGGGGTATTTTTTTAAATCGTAGTCTTCAATATGGTTGAAAATTTCTTGGTTTTTTCATGTTTTCCTCCTTTTTCTACTTTCAACAATTTTCTTAGTCTTTTCAGCTGGATTTTTCCTGTTCTCTGGCAATTTTCTGGATCAAAACGTCCTTTTCTGCCATTTTTCTCGGTTTTTGGATTAAATATCTGTTAAAACTAAATCTAAAACTATTGAACTAAATCTCCTCTCATTTCTCAATTTTTGTTTCTCTCAAAAATTTTCTGGTTTTTTCGAAAAATATGAAAGAATTCGTTTTTTCCTCCCTTCGTCACCGGTTCTTCTCTCAAAGAGAGTTCTTCGTACTCTTTCAAGCTTTACATGTACTATTCCAAGTGCCTCTTGTTTCTCGTATACTTGATTGATGATCGTTTTTGTTTCAAATATTACTAGCTTCTGTTGCTTGCCTCTCTAGCTTACTTTTTTAAACATAATTTTTTACAAATTGCTTGGACTTATTAAGGTTAAAGCTAAAAACCTATTCAAAAACCCTTCGATCGTGACAACTTCAATGTTAACCACTTACTTTAATACTTTGGCTGGCATCATTTGAGATTCCGGCGCTGCTTCGATGGTTGATTGCCATGTGTTTGTTGTATTTGGACTAACCCAGCCCATTTCGAAGAGCCATTCTTCCATAATGCGCCCTTTGAACAGGATCTGAAAGAAAGCATTCAATTCTTCGTTTAAAACTATAGTGTCAATTGTTATACATTATGACGATCAAAATTTAACATAAACATCCAATCTCAAGACAATCTTTCTCTGATCCAAACTCTGATTGAATTAAAGAAAACCATCTAATCTCAAATTGACCAATCTAACACAAATGAAACCATATTAAAGTACATCACAACTTACTTTTTGATCGAGTCGAAAATTTTCGATGGATTCAACGGTGCTAAAGTTGATTTCGCGTGACACGGCTCGCAGATCCAAAATTTTCGTTGGTATTTCGGCTTTGTGTTCAGCACCTGACGATGACAAATCTTTGTTCTCTTGCCAAATGACTTTGCCCGTATCGGCATCACGTAAAATCATCCAATTGCTGTGCATCAATAATCATTAATAAAAACCAAATCAAACCAAACAATTGCTTCAACAGATCATTTTCAAACAAAGAAAAAAGAAATGGTGAAATTGTCATACACACACAAAAATTCACTTACATTTGAAAACCATCTTGAATTTTTTCCGTTCGATTTTCATCCGCTGCACTCATGACTGCATCAAATAAAACAAAAAAACTGAGTGACGAAAGAAGAAAAAAACCAAAAACATTGAATTCGATTCGTTGAATGTGATTTACTTACTTGATGCAAATATGGTATGTTTGTTGTTTTCAATTTTGGTGTTGTGTTGACTGAAAATGGTGAATTCAATGACTTTTCGAATGAAAAAAGTGGTCGTGGTCGTCGTCGTCGTCAATGCTATGTGAGTCTGAAAAAAATCCGAATTGGAATTTCGTCGTGTGTACATGTACACACACTTAACATAGATTTTGTTGATGTTGTTTGCGAATTTTTCAGCGTACGTTTTTTTTCGTCTCTCTTTAAACTAGGTTTCAATTGTGTGTGGATTCGGCGCGATTGCTTTGTTGTGTGTTATTGACGGGAGTACTGTTGTTGTTTAATTTTTTGTTATGCGTTTGACAGTTGAGATAGATATACAGTGTGTCGAGCAGTAAGCGCCCTCTTACAACCTCATTTTGCCGGCGCAACACCACACTCACCACATGAATATTGTATACACAAGCCTATGACAAAATTCTCGATTTTGAATTATTCAAACCAATCAATTACGAAATATAAAAAAAAACTCTTGAGGTATTTTCCGCGCATTCTATGCTTCAATTTTATTTTTAACCCATTTTTTGTTTAATTCAATGCTTACAACGTAAAATTTTTTGCTTTTCTTTTTTCATATCAGAGCTTAAAATTTTAGGTACGACCATCCGTACGGTGCAAATTAAAAGAGAAATTAAAATTATCCAGCAAGTAAAATTAGATTGTATTGAAAATGCAAAATTCGTTTAGCGGCCCAATTGCTTTTCAACGACACCATCCTGTTCATGTTTTTTTTTTTTGTAATGAGACTGGAAAATAACCATATCTCTATTGATGGTGTCGAATGTGCCGTCTATTCCTCCTCTGCATCAGCGAAACGTTCATCGTCTGGAATGGAAAGAATTTAATGGAAATTTTTTGGTTAAGAAGGAGAGAATGAACTTAAATGGAAATGTAAATTTCAAATGAATGGAACTTGAATTTTTCAATTCATCCAATGGAGAAATAATTATTATCGGCCATAGCAGATAGCCATGAAGAAACTGGTTCAATAAAGATGAAGGGACTTCTTCATTCCAACCATTTACAAAATGATAGCATGAAGAATTCAATGATGAAATTAAGAGAAGAGATTGAAAATACATGGAAAATGATCCAAACATATTCAATTTCCAAACAAAAAATGACCTAAATCCAAATATTTTACCATCGATGTGCAAATTTCGGATATCCTCTTGATCGATGTCATCATCAGCTGCATGATTGTTCTCCTCAGCCATTATGAATTCGTCTTCTTCTTCAGAGAAACTGTCTGTAATGGGAATTATTTCAGATTTTGTTCAGTGAATCGATAGTCATTGAATAAAATTTATTTCATAATAGTCAGTGACATTGACTCATTGTTATCAATTCAGTTATTGAATACAAAGAAAACGAATTTGAAAGAAGAAAAAAATCAAAAATAAAAAGTATTCAAGAATAAAAGAATGAGAGAAAATAATTAAAAACGAAAATGAGTTGATTCAAAAAAAAAAACAACAACTCAACAACAAAAAAACAACCTTCCGTTGGGAAAAATTCACAAAAAAAGCCACCACAAATTGTGTTACAAACCATTTGGATCGGGATGTAAACTTTGGCAATGTTTCATTGCTTCGAAGATTTCTTCGATTCGATTTTCATCATGTGGTGTGTACCAGATTTCGGTCATTCGTGGCTCTTCATCTGTCGAAAGAAAGAACAATTGAATATGTTGATGAGTGATTTAAATTGTAAATCGAAATTGTATATCTAAATTCGACGACGTCGACGACGTCGACGACGGAATTACCTTCACATGTGCCTTCATCATCATCATCTTCGTCGTTGTCACCATCCTGGGCCATTCGTTCATCGTTGCCGTTGTTTGCATGAAATCGCCCGTTGCCTTGTGACGGTGGATAGTCGATGTGCACATCGAGCATAATATAAATACACTTGACCGGTACACTTGAGATTGCATGCAACGTTATACTTTGCCATGCTATCGAAATGCCTTCTTCACGACCCGTTTCCTGCCAACGCAAATAACTACAGCACAAAAAAATAAACATAAAAGAAAAAAGCACAACAACCAAAAACATTAGTTTTCAACCAAACCAACAGCAAACAGCACTATGGTGTTGTGTGTCTCTCTTACTTTTCTGTGATGTACAGTGTTCCGGCATTCATTTGTGTTTGATTGATTTTCATTTCGACATTTTCCAATTTCTTGACTAAACCCTCTTCGGGATTCACCAATGGACCAATTATCACCATTTTTCTGCGGCTAATTTTCGCTTTTTTACCTTTCTGAATTTGTTGTATCGCTGCACCAAAATAACCTTTGAGCTAGTGTATAATTCCCCTGCAAGTTGAATAGACTGCGTCTGAATCATAAACAACTCACAGCCAATTTGGGGTTAGGTTTGCCTATTTGCAATGTAAATGACACTTCTGGCTTACCATTTATTTCGGAGAGTCTCAGTGGTCGATAGTACAGTTGCACTGTTTGCAATGGATTGATTCAATTCTAAAATTAAAATGAATTTCCCACAAAAAATTCCATTTTCAATTTTTCATTGAAAATTCATAAATTTTCCAATAAAAAATTTTCGTTTCGTAATTTTCTCCTTTTTTCATTTTTCCACAACACTTTTTCGATTCATTTCAACCGAATCGTCTTATCGACATGTCAAACGAAATCGATCAATGTGCCGTACCAACGTGACCGCATCGAAAACAATGATTGAAACATATGTGTGCATGTGTTTGGTGATAGCAGTGGAGAGCCGACATTTATTTGAAAACACGTGCGAAGCACACAAGCACTAACCATCGTTTAAACGCTGCTCCTAGCCACACGATTTTTTTTTTTAATCAAGTGAAATAAGTTTAGCGTTTATTTTTTGCATTTGTTTTTTGTTTAAATAAGTAAACAAATTGTCGATACGTACAATTTGTTTGGAAATCGAATAATCCAGTGCTTGTGTCGATTAACTGAAGGAATTTCATAAAAATGGGTAGACCAGGTGAGTTGAGCATGCCAGCACATTTTTTTTCTAGTGCATGTTAAAATAGACAAATTTTTGAGTGATTGAGTGAATTGAAAATCGGGTAGTCGTCATCAATCCCAGAGAAATAATCGCATAGGAAAGTGTGAAATGTAGAAGCAATTTCTAAATTCAGTTTTTTTCTTGTTTATTTTGGAACAGAATTCGGAGGTGGCCGTGGAGGTGGTGGCCGTGGTGGTGGCGGCGGTCGTGGTCGTGGTGCACCTCGCGGAGGAGGCGGTGGCCGAGGAGGAGGCGGTGGTCGAGGAGGATTCGGAGGCAAACCTAGCTTCGGCGGTGGTGGTGGCCGAGGTGGTGGAGGACGTGGAGCTGGTGGTCGAGGAGGTGGCGGCCGTGGTCGCGGTGCACCAAGAGGCGGTGGCAAACCAGGTGGCTTCAAAGGAGGTAAGACTGTAATCCATATTCAATAAACATTTGAATGCAAAAAGTGTTGCTAATTCAAAACAAAACACTACAATGAACACGCTACATTTGTTTTGGCAGGCAAAACCGTTATCGTTGAGCCACATCGTCACGACGGTGTGTTCATTGCCCGTGGAAAGGAAGACGCATTGGTTACACGCAATTTAGTGCCCGGCTCCGAAGTGTACGGCGAAAAGCGCATCTCAGTCGAAGTAAGTGATACTTTTTATTGATCAGTTTTCAATCGGATTTGAGCCCAGTTTGTTAGGTTCATTCTTTTTAGAACTTAAACTAAAACTGAACGTTGTTGAATGGCATTGAACGACGTTGACATAGTTTAACCGAGTTCAACAATTGTGTTGAAACCAATCGAAAACGGAATTCATTTTATTTTGGAATGATGATTTGTGCAGGGGTACGGAAGCGACGGCATGTGGTCGTAAAACTTGTTCAAAACAAACGTGTAAATCCATCGCCCGAGGTGATGGTTGTGTTTGTTTGTGTTCAAGTTTAAGAAAATGCACTACTGACCTCCACCATAAAACAAAAACGCCATTTTGCTTCACACATTCCCAAGTACTAATCCAATTGTTTTTTCTCTTTTTCTTTTTCCTAATTTTTCTCCACATACAAACCGCACACAGTCAACACCCGGTGAAAAAATTGAATACAGAGTATGGAATCCATTCCGTTCAAAGTTGGCGGCTGCCATTTTGGGTGGTGTTGACAAAATTCACATAACACCCGGTTCAAAGGTATTGTATTTGGGTGCTGCGTCCGGAACGACAGTGTCACATGTATCGGATGTGGTCGGTCCCGAAGGATTAGTATATGCTGTTGAATTTTCACATCGATCGGGTCGTGACTTGATAAATGTTGCCAAAAAGCGAACAAACATTATCCCAATCATTGAAGATGCCCGTCATCCGCACAAATACCGAATGTTGGTCGGTATGGTGGACACAGTTTTTGCTGATGTTGCACAGCCCGATCAAGCTCGTATTGTGGCATTGAATTCACAATATTTCCTGAAAAATGGTGGCCATTTCGTTATCTCCATTAAAGCATCGTGTATCGATTCAACGGCACAACCTGAAGCCGTTTTTGCCGCTGAAGTGAAGAAATTGCAAGCCGACAAACTGAAACCACAGGAACAGATCACACTCGAACCGTACGAACGAGACCATGCCGTTGTTGTCGGAGTCTTCAGACCACCACCAAAGAGTGCTAGCTAAACAGAGAAAAACACATCCCCACCAATAAACACACACGCTAAGACTATTCAAGTTTTGTAATTTTTAAGTCAGTTTCTTTTTCCACCCGCTTCTCTTAACAGACAAAACGTTTTGAAAGCGCAATCACACGACACATATTCAACGGAAGAGAGTTTTTTACACATATGAAAGTGTAGCATTTTTTTTTCTTAGGAGACAACATTCGATTCTTTTTGACCCGATTTTCGAAATGTGTAGAATTTTTCTTTATTATGTGAGAATTTTTACACTTCGGAAATAGATACGATGAAATAGATTCTGTATTTCTTTTTTTGGGGCGCGCGCCGATAAAACATTCATGTTTTTTTCGACACATTTCACAACAACTTAGACATTAAGACAACAGAGTATGAAAAAGAGAAAAAAATTTAATGAATTTTTTTTGAAATAAATGAACTAAAAACGATTAGGCATTGTGCGTTTGATTTTGAATTTTTTTTTTTCTTTTCTTTATTGGCATTTTTGTTAATTCAAACATTTTGGGATCTATGTGGGGATTTTTTTTCTTAATTTATTGAGAATGAACTTAAAACTATCGATTTTAGATGAGTTGTGGTAAAGTTAGCTTGGACAGAAGATGATGGAATGTTTATGATTTCACTTGTTCGGCTTCATATTCTTCTGGGGTGATTGGAGTATGCAACTGTAATACAAACACACATTTTCATTAGTTTACGATTCGATGGAACGAAAAATGTGATAAATTCATAAGCCATGGACTAATCTAAGGGGATTTATCTCTCGCGAATGCTGCGAATGCATTCGCATTTCAGAACAAAAATTTGAATGTTTGCGAATGCGACAAATGTGGCTATGGCAGCGAACTTGTGACTACATAATTCAATTAATTGATTCGTGTCTGTGCACGCATTCGCAACGCTGCCATATGATTTATTTGTAAACATTCGCACTCGCATTCGTGAGAACGTTCGAGAACAGCGAAATACGTATTCTATACGAATGCGAGTGCGAAAGTTTACATAGAAATCATATGGCACCGTTGTGAATGCATGGCACTGAGCGCGAATTTGTGAATAAAAATTTGAATGACAAACCGACATAGAAGCCCCTAGGGACTAATCCACATCAATTCCAATATAGAAACGGACTAAGGTAAGTCAATCAAAGAACGGTTCTATTGACAAAAAAAAATCGACGACTAATTAACTCCAACCATGATCGACTGAAGAACGAGAAGATTCGGTGCAAAAATTTATGTTAAAGACATGAAACGGCAATCATAAACCGTTGAAGTTCCGTGATAAAACTTCGTTTAAACATAACATCTAACAAATCAAAACAGTGACTCACGGTCTATGAGACACTTCATTCCACATTCAAATATTCCTTACCGCTTTGCTAAAATTGTTCCAGTCGAGCGCTTGCTTTAGTTTATCGTTGTCCGACGGTACTTTGTCATAATTCCAGTAGGTGAACTCATTGAAGATGCCACTCACTTTGAACGTACGCTCAGCATTTTCGTCCAGTGGTCGTTGATCCTCTTGGAAAACAATGCCCCGATGCGATTCTGGCACTTGGAATTGACACCCATTCAACGGGAAACCACGCAGCGAATTCTTGAGAACTGCAAAATAAGGATGAAACATCATTAAGTATCTTTGAAGATGAGTGTAATTTGCAAACGACAAGGGATATAATATGAAACGTAACAAGTAAAACCACATAAACGATGCAAATAACGCATACATTAAAAATTATAAAGGATACATTTTGATACTGAATGGGTATTTTTAAGTGAAAAATGATGTCTTTGGTCCAAAAAAACTGTGAAATGCACTGCCGAGAATAACAATTGACTAAACATAAACAATACTTACATCCATCGACTTCAGTTGTGTAGTTGTTGAAGTACTGATCAACATTTGCGATGGCCGATTCTTCAACGCTCGCTGGAATGAATTGCAATTGGACGTGATTCTCTTTGGGCTGATCGAAATCAGCATTGTCCAATTTCAAGTGTATTGACATTTTTCCCTTAGCTACAGCAGAAATAAAACTCCAGAATTGTATCACTAATGAGTCTTTCGTCACAATACGACATAAACAGATGTGCAAACGCGCGCGTTTTTCCAATGACAACCGACTGATTTTTGACAGATCGCCGCATGAAGTGTACACAACCTCAAATGTGGCGCAAATAAACAAATGCTTTTTTTTATGCTAGTTTCTCTAGATGGATTTGCCTTTTGAACTGGATTTTCAGACATAATTGAATGCGTAAGCCCAAATTGAATTGCAAACAGCTGAAATATTCATCACAATTGAAAATTATGATTTACAAAGAAAATGATGCAATCATGGAACTAAACTAGCATGAAAAATGATGCCCAAAACGAGCATTTTTTTTCTCATTCTTCCTTTTTTGCCTACGAAAAAGAAAAACTCTTTATTTTTGTAACACAATTGTTGGAAATTCGTTTTTATTTGTCATTTGATGAGAATAATTTTTCTTACATTGAAAGATTTTGGTTTTGTTTTGTTTTTTGATGAAACTTTTTTTCTGTAACAAAAAAAAATGAAATTAAAAAAATGCGAATCTGATTGAAATGAGGTTGCAGTATTGATTCATTGATTTAAAAAAAAGAAAAAGGTAGAACATGCAATGGGAACTTGAATGACTTCAGACGATTTGTGTGCCACTTTGAGCGCAGTATTTTTGGAGTGCTTGTTGATGGTCGGCTGGTAGTGCGGAAATCAGTGTAGGTATATCGCCGGGTCGTGATGTGGACAATTTAGCTAGATTTTCGGCCAAATGTTTGCGTATATCTTGCACATCGGGAATTGGATCGATCACCTTTAATTTGGCATAGTTGAGTTGCGAATAGGCCGCTTGATAGCCGATTGCATTTTCAATTTCCACAAAATCATCACCTTCCAATGCCGTTTCATCGGGTGGCATTTCAAATGATGTGATCAATGCTTGCAACAAATTCGCCCAATAATTACGATACGGTGGCACCAACATGGCTGGACATTCGCACAATAGTTTCGTTGCACCAACCGCTACGATTTTCTTATCCATGTCGCCCGCAACACGAGCCAAATCCGATATCAATACACGTTCAATCACCATGCCGAACATTCTGTTGGAGACAAAATGAAAAACGGTTAGATGGAAAAAAAGTGAAAAGGGAACAAACATGGAAAAATATGCAAAAAGGATGAGTCAGGATGAGTAAATCTTGATGTAAACACATAAATGAGTGATTCACTAAACTCTCGAACTACGTACTGTGCCTGAATGTTGTCAATTAATTCAACCAATTGTGGAGCGCCGATCTTAGCTGCATAGAAACACAAGAACCCAATGAAACCACGCACGTATTTGGTCGTTTTTGACAGCGTCAAACGTTGGAACAGCAACGCAAATATCTGACGAATGTTCTCCTGCAGTTCATTGCTGTGGAAAGAAAAAGAGGAAAGTTGATTACTTTTTTGATCTGGAGAGTTATTTAGGCGAATTTTTAATTCATCGAAGAATTTTGTTAAATTTTTGATAATTTGATCCAAATTTTTAAAGAGTGCAATTCGTTTCAGAAATTAAAACGAGGATAAAGTCAAAAATGAATGGAATTAATGATGAATTTTATATTGAAATATCATGTAAACTGATCGATTTAAAGCTAATGTTAAATCATTGGTTGATTTAATGCAAAGATTGTTCACTTACGTTGGATAAAATTGCAACAAATTTTGTAGTAAAAAGAAGCCCTCATGATCGTTAGCTTTGGATGCGATCATTTTCTGGAATACACCAAGTATTGCATTCTGTAAAGGTGAACAAATTGAATATTATTTTCCGTTTTTATTAAATTGAGTCGGAATAAAAAGGTTCACAATGTTTCAGAAGGTAAAATTGAAATTGTTAGCCAATTATCATTAAAAAAATTCTTTTTCAACTTCCGTTCTAAGAACCCGAAAGAAAATTTAGTTAGGAAAAAAGTTAAAAAAGGTAAAAAAATAAGAAATAAAATTAAAAATGCAAAAAACGACTCAAAAAAGTCATTCCAACATTACCAATTTTTGCATGGCTGCCACTTGTGGTGATCCTTGTCGAATGAATGCGCAAATTAATTTGATCAATGGTGTAACATTTCCGGGACGATCCCATAGTGTGGGAGTCAACAGACACGGGAATAGTGCCCAGTATGCTTCTGGTATGGCGCTGCTTTCACGCACTTCCAATAGTAATGCGAGCATTTGAAAGACATATGGCATAAATTCCAAAATATCCTGTTGCAAAATGTTCTGGAAGATGGGAAAGAGTGCTTCTTCGAATGAGCTGACTGCCGACGGTTCGGCGGTGCACACAATTTTGATGGCCAATGCAAGTGTTTCAAACAAATAATGATTGAAATGTGGCCGTGATGGATTTTTCGAAACGGTTTCCAGGATTTCGGTGAGTCTTGGTAGTACGGCGCTCATAAATGGCATGCTGGCTTGTTGCAATGTGGCAAAACTGCGCATAATTGCTTTCATCACATATTCATTTTCGCTGGCCTGTGCACCGTTCAGCACGGCAAACAGTCCGTTCAACAGATCACCGGCAATCGGTTGCAATTGGGCCACGGTCACTTGCAATGTGTTATCTGGCGCTCGCATTGTGAGCACCTTTTCAATGGTGCACGCCGCATAACTGAACACCACCTGACTCTCCGATGACAAATGTCGCACCAAGTTTGGCATACAAGCGACCATCGTTTGTGGACCCAACAGCGTTCGGAATGTCATCACGAATTTGATGGCGTCAGCCTTAAGCACCGGTAATTCATTCACATTTGGCCGGTTCAATTCCGGAATGATTTGTTGCTCACAAAACTGTGGCAATGGTACTAACTGTGAGGCTTGCGTTACACCATGCTTCTGTGTACTGCCACGTGATGCCAATGATGTGACCAAAAATATAGCCGTGTCCTTGGCACGCCAGTTCTGTGCCGGATTTTCTGAGTATTTTAACAGGAGAACCTGCAAATACTGACCGAATATCTCGAATATTTTCGCTTCGAAATTTTGCGATAACGTTTTCACCAGATCACATGCCGCTCGACGACGCGTATCTATGTCCGAACCTTCGATGTCACGACGAATGTACTCCTCTGGATTGTCCTCAAACAATTCCTCGTCAGATGCTGCGAATTTAAAGCGGGGGGATTTGTTAGGATCAGTTAGGTTTTTCTCATTGAGCTAGCCAAAAATTTGAGAAGCCCATCGAACCGAAATGAACAGTTCATGGGCAGCTCTAGTCAGTTTGACGCAAACTTTGGTGGATGACCCTTTGTTCGATGAGCAATAGTTTCAAGGAAAAATAGGATATGTATTCGAACCTAAGTAAAAATGTCTCACCTCTGAAGTCCATATTTGGAATGATAACCTTCTCGCAAATGCTGGCCAATACCTTTGGATCTTCGAATAATTGACGATAGTGATTTCGTGTGGCGACTGTCGACAAGAATTGGAGTGCATTCGATACCAACTGTAAAATGTTCAAGAGCAGAAATTAGAAATTGATGCATGTTTCAATCACGAATTGTGCGGAAAGTTTAATAATTTTGTTTTGAAAAAATTGTCTGTATTGAAATTGAATCGAATTTGTCAAAATTCGTTCAAATTTTGGCCTAGTGAAGCCTTTTTCAACCTAGTTTCCCTTCGAATTCGAATTCTTCGGGTATTACCCTCCCACTGCCGAATGAATTACCAACTATATTCTCCACTTACCGCATCGTATTTGGTTTGAATGCCGGTTTTGACGAGCAATTCCCAGACATCAGTCACGAACTGTTGCATGTATGTTCCGAACTCTTCGTCATATTTCTGTGCATACAGTCCAATGTTAAAGCAAATTTGTGATCGCAATTGCTCCAGCACGCCAGCCTCTTCATCATCCTATGTAATTTGAACGGGATAACCAAAAATATTGAGTAACAGTATTAAAATTTCCTTCAAAGTGCTTTTAAAATTCATTTTGATGTGTTTTTTCTCATATTTTTTCAAAAATGATACACTTCTTAGCTTTTCTTACATTTTTCCCAAGATAAATTTCAAAAATCCCCCAAATAATTTCACTTCCACCCATTTAAGCACTAGATGCCTCCGTTTTTTTTTTTTTCAACTAAAAAAATCGAGTGTACTTACGCCAGTGTGCAAGCACGGTATGTCGGTGATGAGAAGTTCGTGGAAGGCGTTCATCCAAGTGGCCATGTTATCTTCGAAAAATTCGGGCAAGTCTTGGGCATTCAGCGAATAAAACACTTTGGTGACCAGAACCAGTGAACCGTAGATGACACGCAATGCGGACTCATTGTTTTCATATGTTTTGGCCAGATTCATGGTGGCCACCAAAAGATCGGTGAGTGGCTTTGCAAATTTATCCAGCACAAATTTAATTTCTTCCCACAATTTTTGCGATTTAAACTCGTAGCGATAGCGTTTGAAGATGGAATGGGCCGTTTGAAGTACACCATTGATGATGTGAAATTCACCGCTCTCGAATTTGGCCACCATTTCATCGATGAGCTGCGGCCATTTCTCTGGAAAATCATATTTTCCAATGATACTAACCGCATCGCTGAGCTGCTTCTGTATGGACGGCGACGATTTCAACATCAGCGTCACAATGTACGTTTTGATTGCCGTACGATCCTCTTCGTGAATTCGATTTGGTCCATCGGTATCCTGAAATGGACGAAGAGGAAAATTGAAAGAAAAGATTAGAATTTTTTTTTTAAAAAGATGCAAAAACGACTGAAGAAAATGTTGAACAAAGCATTGACATCGGAATCAACTGAAGAATCATTCATGTATTTGATTGAACATGGTGTAAATAATGCCCAGTGAAAGATATTGACCAGTCTTAGATGGCGTGAAACTATGTGAAGAAACGTCAAAAACAAGCAAAGACGTAAAAAAAAGTGGAAGAATGTGAACGGATTCGAAGAGTCAAGAAAATGTTCTTCAATCGCTCACAGAACAACACATTCCGATGGAGATGAAGATGATGATTTCATATAATGATATAGTTTGACTTCATTTCCGAATCATGAACCTACGAACTAATGGTTTTGTTAATGACAAAGTTTTGATTTCTTTTTAGAAAAAAAAAATTTGATTTTTCTTTGAAGAAAAAAAAACTGTTTAAATTTTGTAATTTCCATTTTTCCCACAAAAAACACGTTTTTCTTTTCAAAGAGTCGCCCTGTTTGAATCCACACTCTTTCACAAATTTAACACTGAAATTCTTCTTTTTCTCCCCTCTTTCTCTCTTTCTCTTCATTCTTCTCTTTTCCTTTTCTCTTTGAAAAAAAAAACATCTTTTTCTCCTGCCCAAGAACTTTACCATAAATTGCCTATTCTTCCTCAACTCATTCTATCTCCGTTGTTCTTACAACAACAAAAAAAGCAACGACGGAAAAAAAATAATTCAAATTACAAAATATTGCGCAACTTACCGCATGTGCATTCCAATTGCGTTTGACGAAATTTTTGAATGCAATTGAGCCGGCAACGCGTATTGTCATGTCAACATCTTCTTTGCCCACTAAATTTAGCAGCAGAATCGCATAATTCTGATTGCTTTCAACGCTTTCCAGAAACTGTTCGGCTGTATGACACACGGAACAAAAGAGACGAAAAAAAATCAACAATCAAATGTCAAAATTTTTTCAGAAGTGTAATTTGTATTGCGAAAAAAATTGATTCATACCTGGTCGCCGAACATTTTGGTCTGGGCTGAGTGTTTGTTGCAAGTATTGTGCCAATGTTTTAAAATTTTCCTCGTTGATTTCCATGATTATTTTATACAGCTACTACAAATCTCTTGATAATCGCGTCCTATACACAAAATAAGTTTCAATTAAATCACAATCGTCGCGACAAAAAAAAAAATCAGATTGAATGATTTCTATTCTCTTTCTCGTTTTTGCCGAAAAAAAATGACCAACTAAATTTCAACACCAGATTTTAAAAAAAATGAACAAAACTGAATGAAATCTGGCCGGTATGTGTGGTGACGGCGTTGAGATGCTGTTGCTTCTTCAAAAAATTGCGTGTTTATTGACACTGTTCGCAGTTAATCTGGCGTGTGTGATCAACACAACTGTTAGTATGACCGTCATGGACACAGCACAGCGCGCACAATACGATCTCAAATGTATGTGTGTGGAACTTTGGACTGAAGTTAGTCAAGCACAGTGTATCGGATGATTCAAACTGAACGTTAAATTGCAATTGGAAAAAGAAAATTTGGGATTTTCGGATGAAATTTTTGAAAAATTTACAATTTTTCTCAATTATGGAACGTATTTTCAAGGTTTGATTTGGCTTACGTTAAAAAAAAAAAATAAAGAGAAATTCAACGTTTTCATACTGAAGAACCACAAAATTTGTGTGTATGTGAATCATCGGAATGTCAAAACAGAGTGATTTCCCTCCAAATGCCACCTAACCTCACATTTCACTCTCTCCCTCTCGGTCGAAACGTTTACATGTCATATTATTGGTTTGACAGTTCGGCCCCTCTCGTTTCCACTCTGTATCGAATGTGATTTTACATGTTTTGATTGTTTTCAATATCGAATTTGCACTCTCTATCCAATTCAATTCCGACGTAGTTTCGATTTTTTTTGGCAAAATTATCATTGCAAGACCATTTTCATCACATCCATTTGTTGTTCTTGAAGTTCATCGATTCGTCTAGTTTTGATAGCTATTTCCATTCTGAATTTTATGTGAAAAAAAGAGTTATTGTTTGAAATTGCCGTGCGCTGACAACGGTAAATGTAAGACACACATTTAAGTGTTAGAAATAAATTTTGCAGAAGACTACAAAAAGGGGGCAAACGAAAGAAGAGAAAGTGTGTGTGTGTGTGCGTGTGTGTGAAAAGCCATCGAATTGAGAAACAGAGAGAATGGCGGAAAAAACGTATGATTTGTCAACATTTCGGCTGGAGCGTATTCTCAATAAAAATAGTAAAACCAAAACGATTTGTGTGCTTGGCACATTTCCATCACAACAATCGTCTGATACCACCACCACCACTACCACCGAACCAGCGATTGTTGTGCTCGAAAAGACCGCATTCACTGATCACGACGTCAACACCACACACAACAACCATGGCAACGATGATTATGATAATGATGATGATGGAAGCGCAACACAACGCAACTCTTACTTTAGCTTAGAGACGCAATTACAAAATGAGTTTATTAACGATATTTATGGGAATTTTCTATGCTTTCCATTACCAGCCATCAATAGTAATTTTTACATCATCTCTTTTATTTGTATTTCTGTTTTGTAAACGTTTCATTTCTTGCTCTCGCACATCACACCAACCTGTTATGTTCCGTTTTGCGGAACGATGATCACAAGGTGCTAATGCTATTTTTTATGGTCTCTTTTCAGGTGTGAAATTGAATATCATTTGCCCGTGCACCGAGAAACACATCCAAAAGTATACATCACAAGATATTCGCATCGTCCTTGAAACACCACATCTTTATAACACCGTCACCGAACCACGACTACAACTCGAACGTGAACAATTCACCTTGGACGTAAGGCAGACTTAACACTTTTCTTCTTCTTTTTTTGTTGAATGCATTTTTTTTGGGAAATTGACATGTTGTATCGATATGCACTGCGTTATATTGATTGACTTTTGTTTTGGAAAACTTTTTTTTGACTTTGTTTCAAGCTATTTTCGATCGAAATTGTAAAAATTGTTGGAACATTTATGAAAACGGAGAGAATTTTTCAATTGAATTTCGAAAGTTTGAAAGAAAAACCGAACAAAAACCCAAAAAAAATGGAAAACAAACGTGAAAATTTTCCACAAGTAGTATTCAATAGGATTTCGAATATTCGAACATTTCAATATTCAATCGCACCCATTACATGCATTGCAAATTCAAAAATAGCTTTGCTTGCATTTTTTTTGGTTGTTTGTAAACATTCAGTACACAGAATGCGCCATTGAACTGTCGACTCTTTATTTCACACTTTTCTCGCAAAATTCGTCATATCGCGTTTTTAGTTCAGTGGCCAATTCAAAACGCAATTTGCATACTGGCACCGTTTCAAATGGCTTGACATTTATTCTTTTTTTTTCATATTTGTTTTCAAACTGAAAATTGACATTGAAAATTCAACCATCGCCGACTGTCACCGAAACAAAGGCTCCGGAAATTGTGGCAAAGTATTTTTTTTTCATAGATTTTGTATTTACAATTGCATCAATATCGAGGGAAAATATTCCTTGTTCAATAAAGGAGCATCAATATATTGATCAAAATATATTTTGATTTCATTTTTGGTTATTTTCAACTGTTTTTTTTTTCTTTTTATTTCTTCATCTTCATGTTTTCTTGTAAGTGAATTGAAAGATTTCAACTTTTCAGTGGTTTACCAATGCATCTCTTTATCTCTGAAACTTGATAACGTTCTTTAGCTTCATAAGATAAATGTTTGAAGATGGTTTTGTGAGCAGCCATTGTGTGCCAAAAGAAAAAAATGAAACGATTTTTTTTGTATTTAGTGACTGATAACCAGATATTCTTCTAAGTTTAAATAAGTTTGTTGCTGAAAATTAAAAGCTTGATCAACCACTTATAATATTAATATCGTTCCCTTATCCCCTATCTCTTATTGATATCATTCCGTTTTATTTTGCAGTGGGTGTACAATATTCTCGAGCATAAAAAAGAAGTGGATCGTATAATATTCGAGGATCCATGTAAGAAGCTTGGCTTTATTCTGTTGCCCGATTTCAAGTGGGATGGTAAAAACCCGGAGACATTTTATGCCATTGCAATTGTTCATCAGTTGAATTTGAGATCGCTTCGTTCGTTGACCGCGGAGCATTTGCCATTGTTGCGAAACATACAAACCAAAGGTATAGCCGCCATCGCCGAGAAGTACGGTTTGGACGAGACACAGTTGCGCATTTATGTGCACTATCAACCGTCATTTTATCATCTGCACGTGCACTTCACATTCCTAAAATATGAAGCGCCTGGCACGCACTGTGAACGAAGGTAAGCGACTCAAGCGAAAACTAATCCACGAAATCTAGTATCGTGAATCACTACATCCATCGTATACCACGATCCTCAAGCCCATTGTATATACTCTTTCTGAAGGAAGAGTCTCCTTTCAAAATGTACGTTCTAATCCAATTCATTTTTTTCTCCCAAAATGTACAGTCACTTGCTCAGCACCGTGATCAATAACATCGAATTGGTAACCGATTACTATCAACGAGCAACGATCCCATTTACGATCAAAGAGTCTGATCCGTACTACCAAAAATATCGGCCCGATGCCGACACCCATGCTGAGCCCATAGCAAAGAAGCCAAAAATCGGCGCCGATTAGTTTTCATCGTCGTCGATTTTTATGTTTACTTTTAATTTTATTTTTCATCGTCATCAGAATATTTTAGTTTTACCGATTATTTGCCAACGAAATTCAACATACACAAAACAGCAACGACCACCAACACCCAAAAAGCAAACAGAAAGAAGCCATGAAAATTGAGAATATTTTAATTGAGCATTTCCCGCGTTTGAAATGTGCCAATTTTTTCATTTTGTTCGATACAAATTTCGATGATGTGTCATCGGTTCGGGTGCATTTGCGGCCAACGGAAATTTTTGTGCGCTTTGAAAATGACCATAGTACGACAATTGATTTGCAATCACTGGCCGTTCGCATTCAAATCAATTCGTTGAGTTTGCTAATTGCCAAAGAGAATTTAATTAGTTTTCGGATAAATATCGCGTCGAGTTTTCGTGAGGAAATCCTACCGATGCAATCAACGATGAATGCGGCGAGTGCAATGAAACGACTAAGCTTGAATGTGGAACCAGACACGGAATTTTCGATTGTATGCGATAATTGTAGTGGGCCATTGAGTAAATCGTTGCATTTTCGTCGCATCCTTGAGCTGCCATCGGAACAAATGGATTCGAATGAATGGTTTTGTCATAAACCAGAGGCAACCACATGCAATGGGCAACATCAACCCGTATTCAGTGCAACCAGTCTAATGCCGGCTGAAGATGATTTACTCTTTGGCAACTATTTTGCACTCATTCATCGCACACACATCCAGAACATTCACGTGAATTCGCAACAGCGAATGATCCACTGCAAACGATGTCTCAGCCATATTGGCGAAAGTGTCGGCGATTCGACGCTAAAATTCTGGAATGGCAACATCAAAATCATTCGAACCAACGTCGACACACCAGAACGTTTATTCACCGATTCCAATTCATTGTTTCATAATTTTCTTGTCATTGTAGATCGCGTCTCATACGATTATCAAATGCTCGGACGTCAAACACTGAAATTATTATTCGAAGCGCGCAGCTCCAAAGGAACCACATTTTTATTCATTCAAACCATGGCACGTAATTTGGAAATCTATCAAATGGACAAGCACACAAACACCACCACTGATCGAGCGACAATGACACGAGTCGATGGCATTAAATGCCTATTTTTATGCGAAGAAAATACCGATCGAACACTCGTTGAATTCTGGCAAAAAGACGTGAATGTCGTTAGTGCACACATTTCCATCGGTATGCTCGATGCCACCGTTGAACACCTACATCTACTCTCCAAATACGTACCCGAGCAATTTCGAATGAACAACGGTTTCTGCCTAAGTTACTTAAGTTATGGCATTAATTCATAGCAATATTTATTTCTTTTTTCTTGTCCTGAAAAAAACTTTACGTAAAACACACACTGTTACCGAACACCATTTTTTTTTTTGCTGCTGTTGTTGAGATTTTGTTTAATCGATTAATAAAAAAAACACACACAGCATCAAACGCAAAATGATTAAATGCCTTTTTTTCTTCTTTGTGTGATCTAATTGTTTATGTTTTCATGATATTCGGGGCAAATTGATGATGGATCGGTAAGAATTTTGCAGTTTTTACAATAAGGTGAGATACTTTGAAAATGATTTTTTTTCTCTTGATTTTATTTACGGAAATTTTAATGAAAATACAATAGAAAATATGGTTCCAATCTAATCCATGGTTAAATTCTTCATTGCTTCAATTGAAAAAAAAAATGTCCGCAGATTTGTTTCGTTTTCATTTTTGATCAAGCTGCATTTAATTGTACATGAAATTCGCATTCAATTTACCCCAGTACTTTGATTCCGGATCGTATTTTGCAGTGAGTGCCTTCCAATCGGCCGGTCGTCTGGTTCGCAAGAAATTTATGATTTTCTTTGAATTTCGCTTCTGATCTGGAGTACAATTTGAGCAATCGGTTTGAATGGCATCGGGTAATAATTCTGAAAAAAATGTGGAAAACAAGGAAATTTATAAATAAAGCGTGGACCTAATGAATGAATTAATGTGTGAATTTTTCGATTCGGTATATGTGAAAAAAAAGCTAATTGAAACAGTAAAAACTGGAACTAATATCCAATACAAGTGCTGTTTTTTGCTCTGGAATTTTTTTGTTTGCATATTTTTGTAAATTGGTCCGAAATGATCCGCGGTCGTTATGGCTCGCTAGATCACGCCAAATTAGGCCATTCGTTTTCATTTATTCGGGTCAATAGCTTTCATAGGTCGGATAAATTGGAACTCTTTTTCCAAAATTTATCCTCGGAAATAATCCTGGATATAAATCGAACATTTTGGATCATTTATTGTCTTTTATCAATGATACTGTATTGACGAAATTGTTTGAACAAATCTGAGATAGTGATCATTCCAGAATATTTACATTTTTTTTCCAACGGTATCAAACAAAATGACCATCGAAATTGAACGATTGAGTATGATTCTGTTTTGTGTATTTCTCAAATTTCCTAATAACCAGCACTGCATAATAACAGCAACTGTTTTATTTCTCTATATCTGTCTATTCTTCTCTATAAGTCAGTTTTAAGCCCCTATTTCTATACACTTCGTTAAAGGTTGGATTTCTTGAAAACGATAGGTTCACTGAAGATTATTCAATTGCAGATTGGTGTTACTGAATCAAACTAAATGAATCGACTTACTTTTCAGTCCTTCGCCTTCGCGACTACAGTGTCCCTTATCCAGCAAACAATTCAGATAGTTGTTGAAAACGCGATCATTGTTGAGAATGGCATCGATATTACCATGTGGTGCTTTAACCGTTGTCTTTTGGCTCATCGCCATACACACCATCCCCAATAAAAAGGCGATTACAAATGTTGACTTCATCTTGATTCAAAATTAGGCGCACTGAAAAAAGTGAATTGTTTTAGAATTTGTATGAAGAAAATCACACAAGACATTTTTTTTCCATCTTATTCCAATAACCGGATCGTTTTTTGGGTGAAAAACAATAATTTAAATTCTTCAAGTTCTTTTCAATACAATTTGTATTCAAAATTGTGAAAATGTTCTGCGTACACAAAATCTGCATACATCTCTTCAACAAAGTCAATATTATTGATAAAAAAAAATGAAAATTGGCAAAAGTTTAACTAACGGAAATCTCATAATAACGATAAAACCGTGAAGGAGCAAATTGTTTCTTAAATATGAATTCTAACCTTTTCCGTAAAAATTCTCCATTTAGGTAAAACAACAAGTAATATTTCTCTTCAACTCAGAGAAAAAGTTCTTGTTAACAAACTTCTTGTTGAGAAATTTGAAAAAAAAAATTTACCTGTAGAAAGACTTACCTTCAAAAACTGGATGTGTACTCGATGATTGCAACTCGCAAACTGAATGTTGGTAGATTTTTTAGAAGAAATAAACAAACTGAAGTCAATCGGAGAAAAAATGAAGCTATCACCAATGGAGTCGTTAGAATTGTGCTGATCGTAAGTTTTTTTTGTGTGTAAAAAGTAACGATGGGCAAATGAGAGTGCGAGCAATAAGGTCAGAATGTTAAAAGGAGACCATAAAACAATTGAAAACGTATTACCGCCGCTAGTGCACCAGTCTAGACACATATCATACAGCGATGTCCCTTTTTCTGAACATCTCTTTCAAACATCGCATCTACCTGTATCGATGGCTGTGTTGTATAGTTAAGCCATTAGCGTGAATACAATCAAGTTCGGAAATAAGTGAACCATAAAGATTTTATTTATTTTTGCCTTCAAATTGTATGCTGATTTACTCATTCTATGTATCTTCCTCTTCCTCTTTCGAAATATTCTTCTTTGTCTCAACTGCTCTCTCATTCGCTTTATTTCTCTCCTTCGCTATTTCTCTCTTTCTGTGTCTCTTGCTTTCTCTCTATAATATTGAGTCTGGATACGTTATTTGCTCAATTATACTCACCTTGAGTTCAGGGATCTATCCAAAATATTCGAATTGGTGCAAAAACGTAAAAGCCAAATCAAATGAAATTGAAGTCTGATGAATTCAATGAATCGTGTTTACGACATTTTTGGCTACGACATGCCTACAGTCAAAAATTCCTGAATATTCATTGACTGTTAGTCAATCTTGAAGCATTATAAGAATGAGCGGATGCTGCTAGATATATTCTTAGGGAATGAATCAATGATACTTTCAGATGATTCAAAAACTTTACTTCAACCGTTTAGGCAGAGGAAAGAGAGCAAAATATACAAATACACGCTAAAGCAACATTTATGAACAATAAAAACAATTTCAATTTTGAATTATTTTCACACACGTTTATTTGGTTCTTTGATATAGTTTGATTCATTATTTTAAATATAAGCTAACTAAAAAAAAACTGAATAAAATGTATTTTTTGTTAAAAAATTGAATCGAAAAATGAAAGAATCCTGAAAGTTACAGAATTTTAGTGGTAAAAGTTATCGCTAACAAATGAACTCAGCCAAACAAAGCATATTTACCGGCTTGATTCTAAGCCGAGTTACTGCGTCTCATTTCGACTAATTTCAGATTAGTATCTCCGTAATGTGTAGTCCATTTTGTTGCCAAGAAAATGTCGTCTCTGACATAAATGATGACTTTTCGTACATTGGCAGACTTTTCACGTTCCTTGTTCAGTTTCGGCAAATTGAGTATACGCTCATTGAGAAAAGCATGGAGTTTCCTTAATTTCGCTGAATGGCGCATGAATGGCAACAGGTCATTAGACGATATGGAGCTGATGGTAACTGTTTCGAGGTTCAAAAGATTTGTAGCCAAAGTCTGAATATCGTTTACTTTAAGACCACCAGGAAGATGTAGCTCCTTCAAAGTAGTCATTTGAGGCACATTGTAAATTTCGGTGAATTGATCGAAGCGTAGTTTTTCAATTCCGAGCACCAGAATCATGTCATCGCAAAGCTTTTTGCTAATTTTCTCGAAACTTAAATGCAGTCGTTTGTAGACACCTTCCCTATGAAGTCGTTTCAACGCACAGTAAATACTTAACGATTTCAATCTGATATGGTCCTGGATATATTCGACAATCAACGTCTCAAATTTTGCATCGGAAGATATGCGCCATTGATTTAGATGCAAAAAGCAGTAACACGTCGAGAAAACTTCCAGGTTAGGATTTCGTCTGAAAAAGGGGGTTAGTTCTGAAATCTCTTCCGAATGCCTAAGACTCAAATGCAAGAATTTGAGTTTTGGATAAACCCAAGATAACCATACGTTGCACGTTTCACTTAGAATGTAACCAAAATCATCTTGAATCCACAAATGTGTCATGTTTTCACAATATTTGAGAAACACTGCGTGAATTTGAGGAACTCTGCGTTTGTATTCAGCAGTACATCGATATAACCTAACATGTTCAATTTTCGGTAAGACCTTTCGAAAATATCTAACTTTGTCCGATATCACATGTGTATTCATAAGATTAATATTCTTAACCGAATCAAATTCGTCACTGTGTGACTCAATGTAACGAAGTGTGGCTGAGTCTTTGTAAGGACGTGGGTGTAAGCCATAAAGATCAGATTTATACGATATATTAGTGATGTATCGATTAAAACCGGATGTCAGCGTTTGCTCGTTGGATGCACCTTCATGGTCGTAGTAACAGGTGTAAATGCCGTCATTCTTGATGAATTTTTCAGCTCCAGCACAGTTTCGCATAAAATATTCACCGGTCACTTTTTGCATTGCTTTGCATGTTTGACCAAATGAATGTAAATCTTTTGTTGATAAATACTCGAATATTTCGTCACAGCAGTCGACCGTAAGCTTGAAAATCGATGGTGACATCGATTGGCTTGATGTGCCAACAATTTCCATTTTGGTTCGATCCTTATTTCGTTTATCGGTTGGGCTTTGTCACTTGACTGCTGATATGTTTTCACTCATCTTGACTGCTGAGATTCTTTTCTTCGATCGGAACCTATTCACCGAAAAATTACTTCGTTGCACAGTTCCTTTGCTACAAAAGAAAAATAAATCAAAATTGAAATTTTTCAAACAAAAACATTGTGATTTAATTTTAATAACTGGAGATTTTTTGGTACACTCTTTCAATCGAGATTCAATTGATCAACGAAAAATACAAAATGGACTGAATAATAATGAGAACAAGAGTGATAGACTTGGTTTCAAACTTGTTGAAAGATAAAAATCCACAAATTTTAGACAATGTTGAGATTCAACTACATTTATACGATTTATTATAGAATCAAACATAAAACACGGCGTATTTTTGTTCAAAAATGCAATTTACTCACTTCAAGTTTCGAAAAATGTCTCAATTCGACGTATATTCCGATTTGACATCAGCCTGCAGACAAGACGGTTGTTATGTTTCTGACGAATTTTTCGAAATTGAACACAGGCATCATTTTTTTTTATTGCTGCTTCCTTCAAAAATCTATTATACATAAACACCTTCAATGGAAAGCAAACCAAAGTTTCAACCTAGGGGGATTTAACTACGTGAAAACTTGTAAAAAAATGATATAAACGCGCACGAAATTGTTACATTCACCAGAGAACTTGCATGATTCCACTCAGTTGACAAGTTCCGTATTAAAACAACATGCGCGAACGCGCGCGAGTTCGTGTGCAAACTTGAAGCTGGACGACGCGCACACATCAGTCGTTCGCACTTTTCCAATACTTTCTCCAGCTCTTTAAAAATATTTCCTTTGTCCATTTTATAATTATATAAATCTTTGAACTTTTGGAAAGGATGTGAAAAATCTTTATACACGTAAACAACCAATTTTTAGTTTGAAACGCGTTTTAGTTGTCAAATAACAACTTGAAAAACGCGCAAAATCATAAACAAACTTGTGTAAACTTGTGACCGTGCGCGTTAGTACGTACAACGAACGCGTCGAACTTCCGCGAATCAAGCAAACTGGCAGAAAACATGCTGAACTCGTAAGAGTTAAATTCCCCTAGGTTTCAACGCATATATGCTCTCATGTGTATATTTTCGTCTCCTTCATTCCCATTAACGCCACCAGTGCACATTATCAATACCAGTCTAATCACAGATCATAGGGCAATGTCCCTTTTTCTAAACATCTCTTTCAAACGAACCATCTACCTGTCCTAATGGCTGTGTCATAAACATGGCGTGACTAGCCGTAAATGTGAATAGAATCAAGTTCGGCGACAAGTGAATATTTCATTTTATTTTCTCTTTCATTTGACAACTATCCCAAAATGAAAATAATTAATAAAAATTCAATCGTGTACCAAACATGTTTGAATCAAATGGCATGCATGTTATATCGTAAATTAGGTTGTTTTGAATGGAAAATAGAAAATACTGGAAGAAATATAAAAAATTTGATGTGTTTATTGTGTTGGCAATTCATTGTTTTATTCGTTGTTCTTAGCTTAAAGAATAATACAATTCAATATGAAATGATCTGAAATCATATGGCTGATTCAGTCATTGACCGAATCTAGTCTGATTCGGTCCGATTATATGTGATGATGTAACTGTTTTGATCCAAAATGACTCAAATCTCAACGCAAACCATACAACTTGCGCGTGCGTTCAGTAATCTTTGTTCCTCAATTTCTTTTTCTCAATGAAATTTCCACACATTCTTTTGATTGACGAGTTCTTCCATTTGTAAAAAAACGACCAATCATTGCTCAAATATGCTAAAAATTATATTTCTGACACAAAAAGAGACCTGCGTATTATGAATTCAAATAATTTCAATGCACTCAATTCGCCGACAATTCGAATTATTTCATCAATTGATAGAAACATACAGACTTCTAGTCGTTCCAATTGTGGTAACGTTTTTGCGATCCCCGAAAGACTTATTCTCGTGTCTTTTACGTCAAGAAAAATTCCTGGGCTAACACGCAGTTGTTTCACTGTTGAATATTTTTCAATTGGGCTGTAGAACTGTTCATTCGTAATTTTTTCAAAATTAAACCATAATTACAATGATTCGAGCTGATCGCATCTAAACGGAATAACAAAAGACCTGCAGTCGTTAAATCCATGTAAAGAGGAACTCCAAGATGTTTCAGACTTTTTAATTTGATGTTCTTGTCGGTGGACATTTTGAAATGTGACACATTTATCTCATCCTCATATTTTATCAGAGAAAGTTTTTCAAGATTCTGCAGACTTTCACTTGCAACCCGTTTCCAGTGGAAGTTTGGAAGAATCGAGAAAAAAAAACAATCTTACCAATTCCCAATGTAAATATTTTTCTTATTTTCTCATTTTCAAAATAAAAATTTCTATCGAATTGAACGCAGCAATTTTTTTTTCGATTTTTCAATGAATAAATTACTTGTTTAACATTGACAATGATGGCAATGTAAAAAAATGCTGTGTGTTATAACTTCGTCCATCGAAATACAACTGAGTCTTGATCACAATGTTTTTTGCTTCACTCGCAATTTTTTAAGCATTTTCGAATGGTGTGAAATTTTTTTAAAAGAAAAACACGGAAAAGGATTATGGACCAAAGTCAGAATTTGTGCTGGCCTCTATATCGTACCCACCGCTATACCTGGCATTAGTGTGTAAACATACTGTTTTACCATTGGATAGAAAACGACCTTCTGAAAAAACAAGATTAGGAAATCGTTCGACGAATTCGGTGGCCAAATTCGTTTTTTTCCCAGCAAAAATAACATATAATTAACATGAATTGGACTAACGCTATTGTAAGTAGAACTTCGTCTCGAATGAACTGTTGAGGTGGATTTTGTTTGGTATGGTTTGGTTCGTGAAGAAAGAGATATTTGTGAGTGACTAATTTATGTTATCATTCATCATTAAAAATAAAATATAAAAATTTCATCGTCGGAAAGGTAGCGAATTTACATCAAAATGGCACTCATTTTAATTAACAGAATTGGCTTCGTATTTGTTCAAGTTTTCTTTTGAATCAGAAGTTCTGATTTTATCACGAAGTCAAATTTGAAATGGTGATTTGACTTTGAAAACAACATATGATACGGTTTCATTTTAAAATGCAACAAAACATTTTTCATATAGTGTTGTTGTAATAATACAATAAACGAAACTGTCGCAGAAAAAAAAAGTCACATACAGCAACTGTATTATCTTGAACGCATCTGAATTAGTCGTACAGACCTCGAAAAGTGTCTATAGGTAAGGTATTATACATTGTTTTTCAGGGCATTTAATTGATTATTAAAAGTTAAATGTAGTGATATAACACTTCGATATGTATTGTGTATGCCTGCTATTTAGGTCTAATCACCATTTCAAAATTGATTTGGTAATTAAATCAGGAAAAAACATAAACAAATGCGAAGCTAATTCTGCTAATTAGCATGAACGCTAGTTTGATATAAATTGAAAACTTTTTCTAGAAACAGAACAAAAGATAATCCATATATCAAATCATGAAGTTCATAAGTGTTGTAATTCCTTTATTGTGTTTATGCCATGGCATTTATTGTCAAGATGAACCAGGTCCAGATGAACCAGGTATAGAAGCACCAGCGACAACTGAAGTGGAAGAATTAAAGGCTGTAAAACCGAAAAATGAAAGTCTTCATTTTTGTGCAAAATTCTCTGCAACCGATCATCAATTTGAAGTTACGAGTGCAAACTTAATGAATGGTAAATGGACATGCTGTCCAAACAATCATACCGATCCAGTACATGGACCAAGAGGAAAACGATTTGGTCCGGAGGCAGCAGACTATTTGTACGTTTGTTCAGCGGGTTTTGATGGTACTCCATCTGGAACAGAAGTTCAAATAGTTATTCAACCCCAATTTTCAAAGGATAAATTGGTATTCTACTATAAGATTGCGGCTACCGGAGTAAACACTTATGGATTTCTGCATGTTGATCGAACAAAATATGACATTGTTGAGACTGAACCTACAGAAGAATGGGATCGCAGTTATAGAATTACAGTTGTTGACCAAAATTCAAGAACAAAAGAGTTTTGAAGTCTTTCGAAACTTTTTGTCGCACCGGTTCAACTGCTCTAACGAAGCTAGGAACTAATTTTAAATTTAATCCAAATAATGTTTTGATGCGAATGAATTCAACAAAGTGTTTTGAATCAAAACTTTTTATTTACAATAAAATCATGTGTAAATAAATTGGATAAAGTAAATCAATCAACCAAACTAGAAGATCTCTTTTCATGCACGAATCTATTTCTACTAACATTTTCCCCATTTCCCCGATTTCGTGTCCCGTCAAAAAATATGCTTAATCAAACTATTGAATTTGTAAAAAATAAACTAAACAATTTCTTCAAGGGCAGAAATCTGTAAATAATTATTGTATACCAAATTGATTTATTTAAATGAACCACCTAGGTCAAAGAAATTCCATTGGTGCCAAACATTATTATTATCAAAGCAGGACATTTTTCAGATTTGTACGGGTTTTTGAAATATTTCGAAAATATAAAAGAGTGTATTAGCCAGAATCATATAGAAACGATGAAATTAACGATTGATTCGAATGTTGCATTCATCGAACTATTAAAAATGAATACAAAAATGTGAACTACACTGACACTGCATAAGCTGTTTTCGCTCTCACATTATTTAAATACATACTTTGACCGTTTCGATGTGTGACAAAAACAATTGATCGAATCTTTGCCATGGAAATATTTACATAATGCAAGAGCAAAAACAACCGATAGAGCAGCAGCGTCGCTGAAATCATTCTTTTCGGACACACATTGTCGTCGTGACAAAATGAGCAAGTGTCATTCAAAGCGTTGATATGGGCTAATTAATTGTTTCCAATAAATTTAGTATAATGTTGTTTTGATAATTATGATAAAAAAAAAATATAATTTTAATTTTATTAAGGGAAGCTTCTTTTTATATACCTAAATAATTTGAGCTATAATTTCATTTCTGACCAATAAATTTAACAATAAAAATTGGTTGGTTTTCAACACATTTTTCAGATAATAATTGGCCTATTTGTACAGATTTTGACTTCAGAAGAGCTGGTCACCCTACGAATCACCATTAAAATGCGATTAAAAAAATCTTTAAATACAATTACGCGAGAATAGCATTACACTAACAATAACATCATTTGCAAAATGACATTCGTTCAAAACCCGAGCGCATGCATAAACGCATTACTCTGCAAATGCACTTGTTAATCTACCCATCTAACAATTATCAACCCAAATACATCCGATTCCAGGCACATTTCCAAGGTTGAATACGGGGATAGATTTAACCGTAGAAGTAACCGTCATAGTGATCCAATTGTGCATGGAATGAATGGAGAAAAAATTGCATAAAATTAGCATCAATACATTCAATACTCTTATTTCAATTGGAAAACAAATCATTTACTTACATACATGGGTACTTCTGGCCTCCTTAGTTAAGTATGTACGCCTACTATACCACAACAATCAGGCATAGCGGAAATAACATAATGTTATATTTTAATTTTTAAATTATTCATTGTGAATGGCGTGAAATACATGATGCTGGTTAGTTGTTGACAGCAGCTCGCTGGTTGGATGGCCTCTGCAATGTTTCGGGTAACTCGTCCCCAAACAAGTCACAGTGTCCTTGAAAATCATACAAGAAAACAATGAATGATATGAAAACAAAGCACTGCACCTCACATCACATGCAATTCAATCAATATATTATGAGCACTTACCTTTGATCAGGATACATTTTGCAGCGGCTATGTCGCGATGCCATGTCGTCTTGTGTACTCGTGGCTCGACAACTTCCATCTCACCGGCTGAATTGAATTTCACGTATTCCACGATTTTACTAGACTCATTTACATGCCATGTTTTGTGGTAGATTGCCACTTTTGGGAGTAATTCTGGGTTTAGTTGATCTGGATGTGGGACATCATTGCCAACCGCTGGATTTCCGTTGCCCTCTTCCGCTTCTTTCTCGAGCAAAAACAGTTTCAGCTTCTCTTGCCTCATCTTTCGTTTGTTGACCTTGCACACGATCATTGATGGCAGCATTGCTTCTACCAATTTCGGCCGACAATCATGGCAGACTTTGAAGCGATGTCGTTTCGTACGTCGATCAAAACGGCCAAAGCACTTGGCGCATGTTTGTGAAGTGTAATACTCGTCGACCATATTAACCATACAACCACGACACTTTTTGTAGCTTCGTATCATTTTCCGATTGCCCGGGCAACGCAGTGTCTTTTTGATGCCGATGGGTGAACTGGGCGACATTTGAGCAGCTCCGAAATGCATGAGTGTTGGCTGATGGTTGGTCAACATTCCGGCTATGCTATCGGTCACACTGTTTGCTCGAACATACTTGTCAAAGTTGAGTCTCGTGTATTTGTCTGTCGTATACACGGCAATGCCACGTTCCGTCATTTTGAGTCGATGCCGAATGTAGTTCTGCCAGTGCCTACCCAATGGCGATGGCATCACCGGATAGAGCGCACGATTTTCACGATCCTGCCTCTCTTCCTTGACAAAGTCTTTGGTCCACCGCTTTCCCTGTCGATTTCGAACCGTTTGCTTCGTCCAGTAATGATACTGTTTGCTGCTGATCGTGTAGTTCGTCTAAGAAACGAAACAAAACAGAACAAAGAAAACCGTTTAGATAAAAATGACAATGACAATGGCATAACTTTGGTTTATCAAATGAACAATGCACGCATATTGTTTACCTCTTTGCCAGTTTCGATGTTGTGTACCGTTGTTGCGTTCCACGTATTCACACCCGGATCAGTTGCACCTTCATTGACAAACTTCTTGTAGTTTTGAACAATGGCCTTTTTGTCCGGTTCCATGTTGCTCATTTTCGTTTTGTCAATATCGAATTGTAGCGATACGGCCTGTCCATTCGAGAGAATTCGGAAACGGAACTTTTTTCTACTGCGACCGAGATGATAGATTTTCCGCATATCGAAGTATTGGTCCCAATAATACTCCTTTTGTTTTCTGAACTCGTCCTCTGTGATGTTAAGTGGTACGATTCCAAGTTGACGCAACAAAAAGTACAATGTTCGAATGTCCAACGTGAAGTGGGTACGAGTGAAACTGCAAATGGGAATCACTGCCAGATTTTTCACTCTCGGCGGCCCTTTCTCAATGTACTCATTTCCATTTTGGCCTCGATCAACTGGCTGCTGGCAAGTGCACGGACGGTGATTTCGACGTCGGCATCGTTTCAGCTCTTCAAACTCTTCGCGTTGGCATCGGCGTTCTTCACGATATTCCTCGCAGGTGTTGAAATCATCAATTTTCCGCTGGAGGGAAATCCAGAATGCGATGCTCTTGAACCAGTCCTTCCCATTTGTGAATAGGCCGATGTTGTTGTCTGGTATGTCCCACCAACTGTTCTTCGTGACCATTCCAATCAACAACGTACGCCGCTCACGTTTGGCAACATCATCCATGCCATTGATTGTGATATCGTCATTGCCATAAATTGCCAAACTAATCACACGGTCGATGTCGGCCTGTTCGTATCGAACAACCAACGAAGATTCGAACACTTTTACACGCAGCCATTCGCGCAGGCGTTTCTTGCTATGCGTCTTCAAGTTGTTTTTTACGTTCGTTACGTACGGATCTATTAAATCATTCATTCCGTTGCCGAAATAGTCTGCGTTGGGCCAAACCACTCGATGGCTATCGTCGAGCTGCTGCACCATTTTACGAAATTCCGGCGGCATTTTCTTCTTCTTGTAAATATTTTTCTTGAGCACACCAAAAAAACACGACCGAATCACCTTTTCGCCATTCTGTTCAAAAAATCCTTTGTCATTGTCTTCGAATGCGCGCTCACAACGGAACAGGAACAACTGCGAGGCGAGTGCACAAATTTTCGTTGCCATCATTGATCTGTCGGTGATGGCTGCAATCAACAAGTCACGGTATTCCGGCCGAAGAATGGCACGCAACTGCGTTTTGATGGTTCTTATGCCGGAATCCTTTTCTTTTTCATCCTCCTTAATCACGTCCCCAAGCACTGCAATTGGCTTCCCCTTCTTTTTTGCTTTTTTGCGCTGGTATCCCATCTGTAAGAGAAAAAAAAAGAAAAAAATGAGGAAAATTAATTAGATATGATGTATTTTCTACCTAAAAACAATGACTAAATTACTTAATTTGAACAAAAAAGAAAAAAAAACAATCACTGTGAATCGAACAGTATGCACAACAAATGACTTGCCTTTTCAAATGCTCAGATCAATATGAATGTGCAACCGGCATCAGTTTAAACTGATCGACGAATTGTGCACAATTGTGCTGATAGTGCAGAAAAATCGAACGAAAAAAAATTGATCTCAGCTAAATGAGTTCTAAGAAAAATCGACAACGAAGCCGGGTGGTGGTGCTGTCACATTTATGGATACCTCCGATGAGATTTTTTTTTCTTGGAAAAATGGCGGAGGACCAAATTGTATACAATGCACAACGAATCGTCTGGCAATCGAATGAACAAGAGCAAAAAACAAATAAACATGCACCGACCACGAATGCTAATATGCGACGAGCGACGA